ATATTCGATGCTCCGCCCCTGACAGGTAAATTAAAACGATTTAGATGCTGCTCAACTACTATCAGTTACAATGAACAAAAACTCTCTATATCATTATGAGTTCCTTCTTGTTCACGGATTAACAGTTTAATAATTTTTTATTTCATTAACATCCAAACGCCCTGCTTTCTTATTGATTTATCTCCTTGTCGCCTTACCTTACTTTTCCTCTTTTTCATTCATCTGCGTCCAATCTTTCCAATCTCCGAACTACCTGATAGTTGGCCCATATCGTACAATTTATAGCATCAGTGAACTTGATAGCAGTGTCATATGATACATGGATATTCAGTCGAAAATAGAGAAGCCAAAGCTGTTTGGTTTATTGGTAACATGGAGCTAGTAGAGAAAATATACGGACAGGTTGCACAAAAAGTAAAGCTGAGACTAAAAAAATAATACAAAATCTACCATTAAACGTTGGAAAGCCTAACATCACAAAATGAGAGAGTGTAATGTATCTGACTGGTACTCATTATGATGAACGATAACCTTAATCTACCCACGTCTGTGGGGCCGAACAATTTGTTTGCTTACGGCTCCTTACGATATAGCAAGATATAAGTAAAAAATGATTCGGATGTTACTTTTCCTCGTTAATTACGTTGACATTTCATGTATGCACCTCTGCACTGGATTCACTTCCTACCGCGAAATACTATACAAGCAGATCTAAAAAGCTTATGGTGTAAAAGCGCTCACTTGTGACATCTCTAGCTGCAGCGTTAAAAAGAAAAAGGAAAAGGAAACTATCACAAAAGCATCAGGTCGTAGTTTTTCATTATTATGTTCTAATAATTTAGTTCTTCTTAGTTTCCGATATTCATACTAATGAATGTTCATTCGTTGTCTTACTGATGACTTGTCTTTATTGACATACATAGGTTCAGGTGTACAGTTAGTGTTCTAATGCGTTATTAGGTCAGAGTAATCATACCTTTGTTTAATCCGAAAATGCTATCTACAGAGTCATGAATGAGATTTAAACAAGAATATTTTCTTCTCTGTTCCCTGCCCCTTACTCTTTGTTCCTTTTTTCAGCATTTCATTCTACCGCTTAAATATTAGCCTGGATAACCGTCGAAGACCTAGTTACATTTCCTAGGAGACTGTAAATTTATTATCTGATGAATATCAACACGAAGATCTTTGCACATTCACATCACCAGTGCATATTATATGAAAACCTGGATTTACCTGGCATTGGTTCTCAACCGTTAGTGGTTTGTCATAACGTAACCGCAATAAATCGAGTCAGCTATCGTATTGTGCAGTCTGAAAGATTATATATGTGAAAAATTTTAGGTGTATATATGAAGCCAAGTTATTTTGTGAAATATTGACAAAACTGGACAACTGGATGTGTTAGCCAATTAAACGTTTTGATCTTGTCGGTAGATTGGCATGCTTCTTAAAATATGTTGTTATTTGAGAATGAATTATTATTATATATACTATTTGGAAAGAAGAAATCACATACCCAACTCAACGGGTAGCGTCCTACTCGTAAACTGCAGCATGTCACGGATATTAAGGCTCTGGAAATACATTGGTCTGTAATAATCGTATAACCGAGGACCATTTTAAGCTCTAATTTTCACATTTTTTCTTTTATTATTCTGTCGGTTGTTTCGCGTTACAGTAGCGTGTTCACAGAAGACATCTGTCGATAATGAATTTTACTCTTGTTTACATCACTAACTCACTAAGTCAACAAATTGTTCGGAAAACTGGATATTGTACTTTTAATGATAGTTGAATAGGGTTGGCGCTCTACTTGTAAAGACTAGGTCATTCGTCCACCACTGATCATCCTATATCCGCTGCAAGTCTACCATTGATCGCTCATGTCTTTCCATAAGTTGTGGAGGAAAGCACAGGACAATCCGACTGAATTCTCAGTTTGGATCAGCCTTTTGGATCTCGTTGAAAAACAGGTAATGAATATATGTCACGGAATATTTTTCAGCAAAATATTGAATATGCCAGACAAGCTTTTGATGCATTCTTCAAGCGTTTCCCATATTGCTATGGTTATTGGAAAAAATTCGCTGACATGGAACGCCACAAAGGAAATAAAGAAAGGTGTTTACAAGTAAGGAATTTTTACCACTGCCGTAATCCGACTACATTTTGCTGCTGTTTCCGTATTTTGATTGGTAACTAAGAGATTATACAGTCGAATACTTAACAGATGTGTTCAATTAAACATGTATAACAACTGAACAAGCTTCAGTAACTCTCCTGGATCCGCTTATTTAAAGATTATTGTGATGATGGTAAAATTGCAAGCAAACATTAGCAATGACAGTTCTGGTTAGTTGCCTTTCGTGCATTTGTTATGGTTTTGAGCGGCGCTCAACCTGCTTCAGTTGCGCTACCATCACCATTAGCTCTGATATTCAAAATGTGGTTTGTGCACAAGTATTAGTGAGTTAGGTAAAATAAGATATTATTGTCATAAAACCTCGTTTTACCTCGCGAGAAGCCGAGAACGTTCTGAATAATTGTGCCTGATTGTCGATAAATTCTTCTAGCAATTCATGGAAAGGTGATTCACTCAAATTGTTAGGGTACAAATTACCAGTTAAGGATCGCAACTTACGGTATTACAGAGGGATTACAGTGATTTAGGTGCTCATCTTCGTAGACAGACTAGCGATCCCACGTTTCACCTGGTCTATGCGCTATATCTAAATGTTTTGCCATCACGTCAAGTAGCTGCTGCGTCAAAGCGTTACGTTGTTCTTCCAGCTCTTACATCGCTAAGTGTGCCACATCGATTCTCTTATCAGTTTTTAGTTGTCTTACACTAACACTAAAAGCGGTTGAAAATAAAGCAGTTTCAGTACGTCTCCTGATTGTCTTTGCGTCATATTCACTTTTTTGCTGAGGGTGGTTTCTTATACAAAGAAGGGGGCTTGTAATGATATTTATCATCGTTTCGTCTGGATCCAAGCGCTCGATTGTATAATGAGAAACATGCTACTCTGCATGCATTTAATGCTAGTCGCAACACTGTATATGTTATTTACCGGTTGTTGATTCTCAGTTCATAATTTGAAACCTAAATGCGGAATTTCTTTACCTGAATTACCCTCATGTTTCCCCATGCATTAAAATGTTTTATGGTGTATAGCAGTGAAACTCAGGATGTATCAGTTGTGTTAATATTTCTGTCAGCATAACAGATTCAAGTCTTCAATAATTATTCTTTCTCATTGCGACACACTAGTTTGATAGCTCTGTCGGTGATGACTTGTATTTAATAAATGCGAAACAAGGTATCGTAAGCAACCTTTATGCATACATAGGACACTTCTATACATTTCGCTGACTTGTGTTCTTGCGGTAGAATTTATTTAACAGTATTCTTACCGTTGACAATAATGCTTCCAAACTACTGGCCAGTCACTTAGTAAGCTACAACGTAGAACCTTGTACGTACGTAGATCAGTTCAGGTTGCTATACCACAGCATAGAGATATCGGGTCATCAATTCAAATCCAATAGTAGTAGAGATAGTAGAAGTATCACTGACAAGTAGACTGAGTCATGTTGGTAGATTTAGGCTTTCTGGTTGGGGTCCGCGACATGAAAGTCACCAATGGTTAGAGACCTTGAACGACATGGCTCAAAATCGTTTGCAATGGCGCAAGTGCATCAACTCTTTGTGTACTCTGAAATTCTAACCTGAATTCCTCATCATCTCTAATTTTCGCTTTCTAAATTCTTCTCACTGAATCATACTTCTCGAATCATATATTCGCTCCCTAATCTTCTCCATTACTGCTAATACTTCTACTATCGGTACCACTATGTGATCTGACCTGACAGTTGCGTCTCTGTGCTGATGTGGTATGGCAACCTGAACTGATGTACGTATGTTCGAAGTTTTGCGTTGTATGTCTGTCTGTGAAAGACAGTCAATTTTTATAATCTTTTCATGGATCTTGAAAAGTAGTAAGGCCATCAGAGATAGATTTTTATTATTTCAAGGTTTACAAATGTTACTCATGTTATTTTCAACGGATCTGTTTCCGTTGTTTTTGACCAGGTTTACGAATTGGGAGTTAAGACTATTCCTTTGAGCGTAGACCTATGGACGGCCTATTTGGATGCTGCCATCGAATACTACCATACGCATGATGATTATGAAACTAAAATGCGCAGGTCAGTGGTTTATTCCTACTTTGTTGCAGTACTCTTTGGTGTGATTTTCAGTTTTCCTTCCGTATGTTCAAACATATTTTAATCAATATTATTTATATAAATTTCAGTCTTTATGAATCTGCAGTGGATTCAGCTGGGCTTGAATTTCGTTCTGATGCCTTGTGGGAACATTATATAAGCTGGGAAAGCGGACATAATCGACTGGTTAATGCAGTTAATATTTATGCTCGCTTACTATCAATTCCAACTCAACTTTATTTCCAAAATTGGGACAGGTTCGTTTAATTTATTATGATAATTACTGTCTGAGTTTCATCGCATTACATTTGTGCCACTGTTCTAGTTATTTTTTTGGTCACAAAATCACATTGTCTTAAAATCCTTTCTTATTTGGGAAATTGTAGTTGTCTGTATGTTGGCATTGTTACCTCTCTCAAAACCACTGCAAATCTAACGATAGAATTTTTAATATCCCTCAACTGAAAACCCTTGTCAAGAAGACAAATTGATCCAAATGATGAAGTGCTCAAGATTTAGAATGATATAAAAAAAGATTGTTTGTATAACACTGACATAATCTTAGTTGTGTTACACAAAGCATCTGATGCTGATTCTAACAATAGCTTCAGTCACCATGTCTTGGACGCTTACATTTAATGCCCACCATTGGAACATAACCAGTTCTGTAGTTAAAACAAAATAAGTTCTGCTGATGACGTTTTTTGTGTAGTCATTAAAGAATGTGGTTCAACATGGTCATACACATAGTTGTCGCGTAAATGAACATTTATTCTACGTTAATGTACAATTTAGGTTTCGTGTTAACTGACTACAAGCATTCAATATCAAAACTACATTTCTAAGTAAGGTGGCTCGTACTACCTTTTTGTTTTGATCCACCTCCATTCTCACTATCTATCGAGTTCTGGAGGATGTGTAAACTCAATATTTGTTATGTTGTTCATTGTTCATACTCAAGCTTCCTATACACTAGCCGAACCGGTTACATGAGTGAAAAGTAACCTCTTATTGCTTAAACGAGTTTAGAATGATTATAGTCGTACATATATTGACTGGCTGAAGGTGCCACTTTTCCTTCCTGAAAATAGAACTGAATTCTCAACTTCATCTGTAGGAATTGGGGTGAGGACACGTTGGTTTGTGTAACATATGTCTGTCTATACCACGTATTGTTCCATGTTCATAAATTTGTCAATTGATTTACTTCGTCTAAATAATGCTGTTTCTTTTCTTACTACTGTTCACTCAATTTTACCTACCTATTATGGGAAATCATTTGAAGGGACTGACTGTTAAAGTCTAGGGCATTTTTCACTTTCCTCATTTCTAATGATGATGTCTTACATATTGAAAGTAATACAGAGCTTCCCGTTATGTGGTAAAATCAATTCTTGGATGGCATGGAATCATAAGTACCATAAGTTTATATAAGGCGAACGGTTATTTATATCAACCTCTAAGCGGTTTAATCTTATTGTCAACTGTGAAAAGTATATATATGTTCCCTAGGCTTCGATACGTATCACTGTAAGGCATCAGCTACTGACAGACTTGATTTGGACCAATTTGGTCTCGCGTGCTGTTACTGGTACTAGATTGAAAAAAATCAAACATTTATTTGAAGTTGAGATTTCTCAGCTTCCATACCCGTCCGATATATGGTTCATGTGTTCCATGGTGGTCAGGAAAGATTACTTTATAAGATATAATCAGCATAAATCATTATCTACGCGAAATCTTAACGCGTTTCTGCGAGTATTCATCCTGAAATTTTAAAAAGTCCTTTTAGTTGCGTCAATTATTTTTATTGTTGTTTTCAATATCAGTTTCAATAAATTGGTTGAAGAAAACCGTCCTGAAGATATACTGTCTAAAAATGAGTTCGCAAGTATGGTGGCACAAATCTCAGTGGCTTCCGGTAAGCCTATCTCACTTGAAAAAGCAATGGGAGACGTTAGTGATGAATTGGAACCACCAATTTTAGGATCTACAAAGCCAACGATTGAAGTACGAGATTTATTGTTAATTTAACTATTTGTATTTTTTTCTCTAATTTGTTTGCATACTAATAATTTTTTGAATGGAATCTAAAACCTTGTTTGGTTTTTTATCCTACTCCGGCCGATAGTAGTAATCAAAGTGTGAAGTCCACTTTTTTCAGGTAAATAGTGATTTTCTAGTCATTTTTTCATTTTCTAAGTGATGGGATTCCGTTGTTCGTTTTTCTTCTCATGATTTACATTTTTTGTACCAGTTGTAATATATTGTTACTGAAATGTTACTCTTACTTACTTACTTACTTACGCCTGTTACCCCTAATGGAGCATAGGCGGCCCACCAGTTTTCTCCAACCAACTCTGCCCTGGGCTTCCCTCTCCAGTTCTGTCCAATGTTTGTTCATTCCTCTCATATCTTTCTCCATTTCCCGTCGCAATGTGTTCTTTGGCCTTCCTCTTTTCCTTTCACCTTCAGGGTTCCATGTGAGGGCTTGTCTTGTGATGCAGTTAGGTGCTTTTCGTAGTGTGTCCTATCCACTTCCACCACTTCTTCCTGATTTCCTCCTCCACTGGAATCTGGTTTTTTCTCTCCCACAGTACGTTGTTGCTGATGGTGTCTGGTGAATCATAATTCTTACTAAATATTTTCCCTAGAAGCATTCTTCACAGGTTCAGGATTTCTCGAATTAATTTGCAATATAGTCGTAACCATCCCGTTATTTCACTTAATTGAGAATATATTCTATCTATCACGTTAAAGTGCAAGTCATTATTTAGGATATCTAAGTATCTTTTTTTTTGTTTATTTGTGTAATTAAACCTGACTAAGCTGTTAACGTTTGGATTATATGCCAATCTTTTAGTGACATGAATAGATCCTAAATTATGAAGGGACCACTGATTGCATAATTTTATTGTATTGTTTTCAATGTGTATTATACTTTGCCTATTAATTTATCAAAAGTAAGTTGATAGTTGACTCAAAACTGTAGTAGTTACGGGTATGCTGTTACGGGTATGAGGGGGGTTGTCACTTCTCGGCTGCCCACACCGTGGAAGGTTGTTTCTTGAGGAACCTGAAAAAGAAGGTATATTAGCGTTGGTCTAAACGACCTGGAAGCGTGACCGCAGAGCTCAAAGGACAACTGCTTGAGGCCGGTCACGCACGGCCTTTTTATGAGAAGTTTTTTGAGTGTTAGCTCCGCTCTTGAAAGCCCTTAGTGGGCACCCTTACCACCGGAGACGGAAATCCGTGAGGTAGGCTGAGGTGTGACATTTTTAGGGTCGACCTTTTCTAACCCTTCCTTCCTTGTGAGAAGGCAGCATCGCTGAAGATGCTGGTTGTCCAAGGGAAACACCTAACTGCTGTCACACCCTCTGCAGTCAGCAGTATGACTTCGCCCTCAGACCTTGGGTAGCTGCTTTTAGTCTCATCGTTCTCCAATCGACCAGCCTAGCATGGTAGAACCTTCAGGAACATAAGTTCCAGCCAGTATAGCTCGGTTAGGTCATCACGATAGGCAAGCCTGACCACCACGTCAAGGTAGCAGCTTCGGTCGGGAGTAGTAGTTACATTAGGTTGCTGATTGGGATGTCTTAAAAAAACTATATTTGTAGTATTCGAGATTATGCTAACTAATTTGGGGGATGAACCGCTAACTGAGAATCTGTAATCAACTTTCTGGGTTCTCTTTTTCAGTTGTTGTCAAGTGACATTGCCGATATTGATATCTGCCTACTATTTCTAGTGCCGTGTTCTTTTTGGTATGAGTCTTTTTCGTTTAACTTGAAGGCTCCGTTTTCATACTTGGCTTGCGATGCAGTTTGTTTACTCAAAGTGTATTTGATATACTCTCTACGTGTTTTCTCAGTTTCCTCTGCTGATATTCAGTTTATTGTCAGAGTATGGATAGGTAGCTATTTTTGTAACGTGGTTCCTTCTTACAAAGTGAAGATGCTAACCACATACCCAACCTTCATCTACCCGATGTTGGGACCAGCACTAACCCTAAAAGGGATTCAGGTGGAGTTATTAGCTATATGGTTCGTGTTCATTTCATTGCTCACTGCTGTCAGTTACCGTTGATATACTCCAGTTGGTGTAGCTCCATAGTTTCATCTCTTAACTACTTCATTTATTTTGTTTTGACCAATACGGTTGAATACATAGTATAGTATATCTAGTCCATAAATAATAATCTCGACTAAACCATCAGTACATAAGTAATTTACTTGGTTATTAATCTATATTTTATGCTAATCAATCAACATGTGTTAACACGATCATTTGTAGGACTACAATGTATGCAAGTCCTTTCCTGCACAGTTATCCTATTATCACTACCAACCTCTCTGATATATAGCAGTATGATAAAAAAGCGCTCGCTAATAAGAAATATTAACGAGATGTTTGTAGTGACTAGACATTACTCTTTGCTTGGTCGCTAAATTGTGGTGTTGAAAAGTAGTGTGTATTTACATTTTATTGTTGTTAACCTCAAGCAACATTTAGTATATCTACAAATTTCGCCATACCATTTAGATTTGAATTCTCTTCATTAGATCGCGCTTAATCGCCATGGGTGTAACTCCATTTCTTTGTCAAACTACTAAACTTAGGTTTCGGTATAGGAACTAGAAGTCTTAACATTCGTGCTGTGTGATATAAAATCTTTTCTAAAATGTAACTTTGAATATTTATCCAATCACTGTGTTTTTGTAGATAACAGATGCTGTCAGGACATCTATACGACAAATGATAATTGATTCACGTGAACAAATTTATCGGGCAACTTATATGCAGATTATGCGGCGGTGGTACTTTGAAGAGAAGGTATGTCATATGATATCAGTTGTTTCTAACTTATTATAAAGCACACTAGTATTTCTAGCCTCAGTAATTTCTTTTAAAGTTTATCTACTAAACCGTAAGTTGTCTCTAACTATGATGTATGATATGAGACATTTGCTCTTTTTCCAGTATTCAAAGGAGTTAATATATGTTTCATTATTATTCCACAAGTTTGGCTTGGTGAAATTAAATTCAAACTCAAACAAGGCTAGTTAGTTCATATAATTTTTACTTTCAGATGTTCATGCTAGAACTCACATAGGTTAAGTCAATGGTGTGTTTTCATTACTCACAGTTGTGTCATAATCACTAGTTCAAAGTTAATGTATAACTTATGCATATTTAGTTCTGCTTTTCCATAAGAAACATTTCCACTGCTGAGTTCCATATATTTAATTTTTAACGTCTTGAGGGTATTGTTTTCTTTTACCCATAGCCTGACTTATAGAGGAGATATTTTACAGTGTCAATCTATGGCTAAATGACTAAATACCTGGAGTATAACTTCAAAAAAGCTTGTCTTTTCCCTAGGAAATTTAATCTTAGATTTAGTTTCGTCCTGAAATTACTTTATTATCACAGGAAAGTGTCAACTTATTCTTTCTAAGACATTAATTTTAATATATCGTCTCACTTTCTTGAGTGTTCTAATGTGTATTAAATTTGGCTTTTGTTCGGTATTGGATCAATATAACTGATTTTTGTAATCAATTGTGTTGGATTAAGTCAACGTCTTTGTATTTATATATATATATTTTCTCCTAGATCCGACGTCCATATTTCCATGTGAAACCCCTGGAAGAAGTGCAACTTAATAACTGGGCTGAATATCTAAGTTTTGAAGAAGCAGAAGCAGGGACTGTTATTTCACATATAAGAGAACAAATGAAAGCGACCAGTCAGTTATCTGATGATAAATTAGAAGAAGCTGTTCTTCAATGTCCTGAAGTAAAACTTGCTAAACGTCGTGTTCGTGTCCTGTATGAACGTTGTCTTGTTGCTTGTGCTCTATATGAACACTTTTGGATACGTTATGCAAAATATTTAGAGGTATTATTTTTAAACTTAAAATTTACATATCTTGTATTATTTTAAGGTAATGTCTTATTTGCGTTTATCGTTTAGTTTTCAATTTTTTTACATGTGCATTTCAATCATTTGTTTTATACGTTGAATAAATAAACTTATTTGTTTATCTAGTCGATAATACTTTTATTTTAAAACATATAATCTTGTTAAGGTTGTCTTGTTTCATCTTCTTTTTATTCTTCTTTTGATTGCACTCACATTGTGTTTTTGATTTCGAAGTGATATACAGAGTTGAAAGCTAAAAAATCTATTTGAATCGCTGGAATCAATGTAGATTTTCAAAGCCTTCAGGTGACTTCAAGTATAACGGATACAGAAATATACCAAAACATGACAGAAATCCATGAAGTCATTGACTAGTGGAGTGAACCATGTCGGTAGTTGTTGACTGCCTGGTTAGGGTCCGCGAGATGATAATAATCGATGGTTAGAGACCCTGAATGACATGGCTCAAAACCGTTTACAATGGTGCAGGTGCATTAGTTTTTTGTGTTCTCTCCAATCCTAATCTTCTGGATTCTTAAACACCTCTAGTTTTGTCTTTCTAAACTTATCTCACTGAATTATACTTCTTGAATAATATCTTCTAATCCTAACCTCTCGGATTACTTCTAATACCTTTACTACCTCTTCTACTATTGGATTTGAATTGACAATTGCATCCCTGTGCTGGTGTGGTATTGCAACATGAACTGATGTACTTACGTACGAAGTTCTACGTTGCATCTGACTGACTGACTGACAAATATACCATCCGTATTCAGAGATACTATTGACATATAACATCAAACTCATTGAAATAGTCTTATACTTTTTGACTAGTAATTTTCAGTCAATTTAATAAACCACACACAGTAATATTATTTCATACAGTGTTATAAAACAGATTATGAAAACCTCTGTGTGGGGATATTTTATATAGCAAGCACAGCTTATAACGTAGCATTTCAGTCAGTCAGTTGCAACGTAGAACTTCGTGCCTATGTACATCAGTTCATGTTGCCATACCACATTAGCACAGAGACGCAAATCTCAAATCGAATCCCATTATGATTGAGATAGTAGAGGTATTAATGGTAATGAAAAAGACTAGGGTTTGAAGAAAGTATTCAAGAAGTATAATTCAGTGAGATAAATGTAGAAGGAGAAAGATAGAAATATTTAGGAATTCACAAGGTTAGAATTAGAGAGAACACAAAGAGTGGATGCACCTGCGCCACTGCAAACGATTCTGAGCCATGTCGTTCAAGGTCTCTAACCATTGGTGACTATCGTCTCGCGGACCCCGATCAGGTAGCCTACATCTACCAACATGACTCTGTCCACTTGTCAGTGACTTCATGGATTTGTGCCATGTTTTGGTTTGGCCTCCTCTAACTTTCTTCCAACCTACTCGTACACCACAAAACATAGCTCGTCGAGATAGTCTGTGGTCGGGCATTCGTAACACATGTTCCAACCATCTCGACTGACGAAGTTTCACCACTTCATCTATTGATCTGCCATCCTTACGTAGAACTCGTTTCCTAACGACAGCATTGCTTACTCGGTTGTCCCATGATATACGAGCAATGCTTCTCAGATATCTATGATCGAATACTAGTAACCTACGAACATCTTCTACTCTTAACGGCCATGTTTAGCACGTAGCATTTAATATTGTAGACAATAATGTAATGCATTTTTCTTTATTTTAGTATACTGAAGGTGATATAGCAGCTGCACGTGAAGTTTGGCGACGTGCTTGTATCACTCATTTACCGTATAAACCAACAATTCATTGGCATTGGGGTTGTTTCGAGGATAGATATCCTGCTTGTTTAGATAATCCACAAAAGTTTGAAGTTCTTACCTGTTTGGATATTTTAACAGATCTAGAGAAGCGCTTAACAGATAGTGCTCTTGTATGTTGTAGACGAGCAGATGCTTTACGAAGAGCAGGGAAACCAGTAAGTCTTGGAATTCATATATTTTCGCTCATTCTATTTTATTTTTTCTAAATAACGATCCATTTTCTTTGTGTTTATAAAGTTTGTGTGTATGTTGATGTATTGTAACAGATGGTGTTAGCAGACATGTAAATATTTCAATATATTTGAAATCTAAGGAAAGACAAATTTTGAAAGCACCTACTTCATATTTTAACCGATTTTGAGTCACTTGTCAATCAATACCTTCAACTATTGTTTATGATAATTGTATGACTTCAGTCACTTTGCCTACACCTGCTAACACGCCTCGATTAGCAAAATAGTTGTAAGATTACATACACTTGAATAGCCTGTCCATTATGTAGGCACACATTGGTAAGATTTGCAGAAAGATTTTATCCTATCATAAAAAAAATATTGGATTTGGATGTTGAAGAGTTGGTTAAAGAGTCTGTTTTTACCAGTACTTACGTATTTGTTATTAGTAGTACATGCACGATTACTTGCTTACTTCTGTCAACCTTTGTGAACATAGGCCGCTGACCAGCATTCTTCAACCAACTCTGTCATAGACCTTCCGATCCGATTCTATCCAATTGCTGTTCATTCTTTTCATGTCTACTTCCGATTCTCAGAGTAATGTGTTCTTTGGTCTTTCACTTTACCTTTGACGTCGGGGATTCCAAGTTAAGGCTTGCTTCGTGACGTAGTTGGTTGCCTTCCTCAATGTGTCTCCTATCCGCTTCCGGTGCTTTTTCCTAATTTCATCCTCAATTGGAATTTGGTTTGTTCTCTCCCACAGTAAGTTGTTGCTGATGTTATCTAGTCAACGGATCTGTAGTGCCTTGTGTAGACCGTTGTTAATAAACACCTGTATCTTCTGGATGATGGCTTTCGTAGTTCTCCAAGTTTCTGCACCTTACAATAGGACTGTCATTACATATTAGTATTGAAAATTGTGACTTTGGTGTTGGTTGATAGTTGTTTCGAGTTCCAGATATTCTTTAATTGTTGAAATACTGCCTTTGCTTTACCAATCGGTTCATTCACATCTGCATCATAATATGCTCCTGTCCATGCTGTCTAATTCTTTCTTGTAGTCAATGAAGTTGTTACATATTAAAGAGGTTCATTCATTTGGTTGTTCTGCGATGATTCGTATTGACATGCTGAAGTTATTGCTTCTTTTTATCTCTTCCCAGTCGTTCTTCATGGTACTTTCCTCTTCATCGGTTAGATTGTGTAATACTTGGAACTTATTGATGAGTGCTATCTTGCATTTGTTACGTATACCAGTATCTTGAAGAAAGGCCTTATTAAACTTTTCTAATGCTGTTAGCTCACGTGTCCAGTGCTTCTTCAATTTCAATTTCATCTTGATCACCACCAAGTGGTGCTCCAAATCTATGTCAGCTCCTTTCTTTGTTCTTACCTCCTTTATAGTCTTGATCTTTTTTAATGATGCAGATGGCTGGAGTAGAACAGCATCTCTCCTGCAGCTAACCGTTTTCTCCAGCCTAATTCCAAGCATCACTCGGTTCTGTCTTTTCATTTCCTCAGCAACTGGAACGATTCTCCCGGCATTCCAAAACTACTGATTATTATATGTCCTACCAGTATAAAACTGGCGTTTTTCCAAAATATCTACAGTCTCTACAAATTATTACTTTACGGTAAAACATTAATAGTTTTCATGTCTCGAGTTATAATCACTGACAGTGAAGTATAACGTTTATTGTATTTGCAGTGTGATAGTCAATATATTCATAAACTGAGCTATAGTTCTTTAATTGATCATCAGTTTTATTTGCCTTTGAAGTTTCGTTATTTGGGATCATAAACTATCCAATGAATAGTTGGAATATCTTTGAAATTCATAAAAGGTCTTTTAGGTTAAATTTTGTTATTTGGCACCTCAAATATGCAAGTTGTTACATTGAATTTGCTTTATTTGACTTTTTATAATTAGGCTTATGAACTCACGGGTACCCAAATCGCAATTGATCATTAGTTTAGTACCCTATGGTTTTCATTGATTTCATTGACTACTTGAACTTCGACTGATTTTGAAATATCACCTTTTTGGATTATTGATCGCTTAGATCATGCTATCCAAGTTCTAGATCCTCAGAGTAGCAGTTCTTCGGAAAAGAACTAGCCTTTACACACAATGTGCCAAATTGTTCTCAATAAATCTTAAAGTGAATATTGTTTTTGTTATTATTCTATTTACTTTCAGCTATTCGACATTATCGCTTGTCTACGTAATGGTATCAATCGTCTTCGTTATCTAGTTCAAGAGCAAAATAAAGTAGCACAATGCGTTTCTGGGGCTACTGCCTCTCGTACTGTAGCACAAGCCATTGCTACTGCAGCGCAAGCTCGTGCAGGAGCGGGTGTTCTTGCTGGTCGCCTTGCTCGACTGTTTCATCGCAATGAATCACTAGCCCCTGAGGGGATACCTGTATGGATGTTGTTACTCAGCACTAAATATGAAGAGGACGAGGATGAATCGATGATATTAGATCTACCTAAGATTGAAGAAACCAATTCCAACGAAAAGAGTGTGGAAGCGGAAAGTACGGATAAGAGCCTTGATAAATCAGATGAAGCTGTCACTTCTCCAAAGGCTGCGAAAGCCGATGAAGAGGATGTTGTAGATAAAGCAAAAGTCAATTCTGTAGATAGCGATCATGAATCTGATTCAGAAGTTGAAGCTGCTTCATCTGATAACGATGTAACAATGGATGAAGAAACTGATGAAGAAAACCACCAGAAATCAGTAACGGATACAACGACATCTAATAAAGATGAGCATGCGAATGAAGATGCCTTAGATGAGTCTGGTTCTCCCCCCATTCTAGTCGTTCCCTGTTCACAAAAGAAAAAGAAACATCATAAACGTAAGCATAGGGAAAGCAAAAAGTCGAAACGTAAGCACAATTCTAGTAAAAAAGCGAAACTGGAGGAAGAAGGTTCCGAAAAAGAGGAAAAAGAAGAGGAAGAAAATGCTGAGGATGTATCGGGAGATGAATCAAAACCAGCTCCTGAGGTCGATCAAACAGCGGAAGAAGAGGAACGTATACGTAACCTTCTTAACAGACGACACAAAGTGATCGAGATTCACGCTCCTTCACCATCGGAGCTTACGGATGAAGATCGTGTGGTTATTTCTTGTGAAGAAGCGGCCATTAGAGTTCTTAAAGAAGCCATTGATTATGATCCAGTAAGTTTTGTGATTGACTGCAGTGTAGTTTATTACTTTGGTAATTATTATATAAAGTAATGGTATCATCTTTTAATGTAGTCTCAATCAATATCAGTAATAGAATTCTTTTCAGTGCATATGGTTGTTTGTTTCGAAGATCACTGTGTTTTTTATTAAAGAGAGATCTCAGTGAATGTTGGTAATGAATTCGACTGGTGACTTTCCTAGTTTGTTCATGGAGTAGTTTGTTTACTGAAGTACTACTTTACATTAACTATAGTATATGTGTAATTCCAATCACTACGTGAATTGACCACTTCTGTCTTTGGGGACGCGTTAACTGTAAACTGATATTTGATATCAGTCAGTCAGTCAGTCAGATGCAACGTGGAACTTCGTACGTAAGTACATCAGTTCATGTTGCAATACCTTATCAGCACAGAGATATAATTGTCAATTCAAATCCAATAGTAGAAGAGGTAGTAAAGGTATTAGAAGTAACTGGAGAGGTTAGGATTAGAAGATATTGATATTGATATTATTATCATGTTTTAAATTAGGTTGAGTAGTTATCTCTGTTCATTTTATAATAACAGGTATCGTACGGCAATCGAGTAAGCAATGGTGTTGTTAGAAAACGGGTACTAGGTAGGGATAGCAAATCAGTAGTTGAAGTATTGAAATTTCATCAGTTGAGGTGGTTGCGACATGTGTTACGTATTCTCAACCAACCACCGACTGCCTCGTCCAGCTATGTTTTGCGATATAGGAGTAGGTTGGACGAAAGCTAGAAGCGGCCAAACAAAAAAATGGAACAAATCCATGAAGTCACTGACAAGTGGACTAAGTCATGTTGGTAGGTGTCGACTACCTGGTTAGGGTCCGCGAGATGTTAGTAATCGATGGTTAAAGACCTTGAGTAACATGGCTCAAAATCGTTTGCAATGGCTCAGGTGAATCTATTCTTTGTCTTCTCATAAATTGTAGTCTTCTGAATTCCCCATCACGCTTATCTTTTTCTTTTTAAATTTACTTCAATGAATTATACTTCTTGAATAATATTTTCGAACCGTTATCTCCTCCATAACCGCTAATACTTCTACTACCTCTACTACTATGGGATTTGAATTGACAGTTGAATCTCTGTGCTAATGTGGTATGGCATCTTGAACTGATGTACTTACGTAGGACGTTATACGTTGTAATTGACTGATTGACTGACTGAAGCGACATTTATGGAATAAGTTACTTACTTACTTACGCCTGTTACCCCCAATGGAGCATAGGCCGCCCACCAGTTTTCTGCAACCAACTCTGTCCTGAGCTTTTCTCTCCAGTTCTGTCCAATGTTTGTTCATTCCCCTCATATCTTTCTCTATTTCTCGGCGTAATGTATTCCTTGGCCTTCCTCTTTTCCTTTTGCCTTGAGGGTTCCATGTGAGGGCTTGTCTCGTGACGCAGTTAGGTGCTTTCCGCAATGTGTGTCCTATCCACTTCCACCACTTCTTCCTGATTTCCTCATCCACTGGAATCTGGTTTGTTTCCTCCCACAGTTCGTTGTTGCTGATGGTGTCTGGCCAACGAATCCGAAGTATTTTGCGTAGACAACTGTTAATAAACACTTGTATCTTCTGGATGATGGCTTTGGTAGTTCTCCATGTTTCCGCTCCATACAGTAGAACTGTCTTCACATTTGTATTGAAAATCCTTATTTTGGTTTTGTTTGAAAGTTGTTTGGAGTTCCAGATATTTTTCAACTGTAGAAATGCCGGCCTTGCTTTGCCAGTCCGTGCCCTCACATCTGCATCGGATCCACCCTTCTCGTCGATGATGCTGCCCAGATATGTAAAAGTGTTGACGTCCTCCAAGGCATCTCCATCAAGAGTGATTTGGTTGGTGCATGTTGTGTTGCATCGGAGAATTTTGCTTTTTCCTTTATGTATGTTGAGACCTACTGCTGCAGAGGCTGCTGCTACACTGGTCGTCTTCTCTTGCATTTGTTGTTGCGTGTGCGATAGAAGAGCCAGGTCATCTGCGAAGTCCAGATCGTCCAGCTGCGTCCTAACTGTCCAGTTGATACCGTGCTTCCCTCCAGATGTTGACGTTTTCATAATCCAGTCGATGGATTACCAGGAGAAAGAGAAAGGGTGAGAGTAAGCAACCTTGCCTCACACCAGTCTTCACCTCAAAGGAGTCTGTTAGCTGACCTCCGTGCATGATTTTGCAGTTGAATCCATCATAAGAATTCCGTGTGATGTTAACCATTAGCTCAGGTACACCGTAGTGTCGAAGAATCCTCCACAGTGTTTTCCTATCCACACTATCGAATGCTTTCTCGTAGTCGATGAAGTTGATGTAGAGTGGTGAATCCATTCAATTGATTGTTCCACAATGATCCGTAATGTAGCATTTCGGTCAGTACACGATCGATCCATACGAAATTTGGCCTGTTGATCTCGAAGTTGGGCGTCTACGAAGTCGTTGATTCTGTTTAACAATACCCTGTTGAAGACTTTGCCTGGTATTGAAAGAAGAGTGATGCCTGTGTAGTTCTCACACTTGCTGAGATCGCCTCGTTTTGGTATTTTGATGAGGTATCCTTCTTTCCAATCTGATGGTACTTGTTCCTCATCCCAAATCTTCTTGAACAGGATGTAAAATATTTTCGCAGTTGCTTCTACATCTGCTTTCATTGCCTCTGCTGGAATGTTGTCTGGTCCTGCTGCTTTGCCGCTCTTGATTTGTCTGATGGCCATACTGATCTCCTCAATCGTAGGTGCGCCAATATTAATTGTTAGGTCCTTGGATGCTGCTTTGATGTTGGGTGGGTTCAGTGGAGCTGGTCGATTCAATAGTTCCTTAAAGTGCTCTACCCACCTATTTCGCTGTTCGTCAGCGTTGCTGATTACTTTGCCTTCCTTACTTTTCACTGGTCGTTCTGGTTTACGATAGTTCCCGGCGAGCTTCTTTGTTGTTTCGTACAATTGTCTCATGTTTCCATCTTTTGCAGCCTTTTCCGCCGTCATTGCTAGATCTTCCACATATTTTCGTTTGTCAGCTCTGATGCTCTTCTTCACTTCCCTGTTTGCTTCTGTGTATTCAGCTTGTGCCTTAACTTTCTCTGCTCTTGTTCGGCTGACGTTGATTGCTGCCTTCTTGTTCCTCCTTTCTTCAATTTTTGCAAGAGTATCAACAGAGATCCATTCCTTGTGATGGTACGTCTTGTGACCCAGAACTTCGTGACATGTTGAAGTGATTGCCTCCTTAATCCCTTTCCAACTGTTCTCCAATGTTGCTTCCTCTCCGCTGAGTATATCGTGCAAGGCCTGGAACCTATTGGTGATGGCTATCCTGAATTCGTTGAGCTTTACAGTATCCCGAAGAAAGGCCGTATTAAACTTGTGTGATGTTGTCTGTCCCGTTGTCCAGTGCTTCTTTAGTTTGAGTTTCATTTTGGCGATTAGCAAATGGTGATCTGAAGCTATATCAGCTCCTCTCCTGGTTCTCACATCCTCCATGGTCCTTCTGAACGTTTTGTTGATACAGATATGATCAATCTGGTTTTGAGTAGTGTGATCCGGTGAAATCCATGTAGCTTTGTGAATGTGTTTGTGCGGGAATATTGTGCCACCAATGACCAGTTTGTTGAAGGCACATAGGTTTGCAAATCTCTCACCATTTTCGTTTCTTTCTCCCAGTCCATGTCGTCCCATGATGTCTTCATATCCAGTGTTGTCCATTCCAACCTTGGCATTCAGGTCTCCCATAAGAATCGTCAAATCCTTTGGTGAACATTTCTCAACAATTGACTGCAGCTTTTCGTAGAATTGATCTTTAACGTCGTCATTGTAGTCATTGGTAGGTGCATAACATTGGATGACGTTCATTGTAATGTCCTGTTTCTTTGTTTTGAAGGATGCTTTAATGATCCTGGGTCCATGAGATTCCCATCCTATTAGTGCCTTTTGTTCATGTTTGGACAGGATCAGTGCAACTCCTTGTGTATGTGAAGCGTTTTCCTCTTCATGACCAGAGTATAACAGCAGTTCCCCTGAAGCTAGTCTCAGTTGTCCTACTTGTGTCCAATGTGTTTCACTGATTCCAAGCACCTCGAGGTTGTATCTTTTCATTTCTGCCGCAACTTGAAATAGTCTTCCAGTCACCCACAATGTACGAACGTTCCATGTACCTAAAAAAATGGTTGCTCTGGTTGTCAGAAGAGGCATGAGCCCCGTGACTTCCGAGGGAACTCGGCTTTCATCACGCGACGTCATAATTCTTCTTGCAACTCCCAGGGCAGAGTTAAAATGGTTTGAATTATTTTTTCTGGTTAGCGTTTTTTTGGCAAGTTAGTTTTTGACGGAATGGGGTCTCCAACCCCATGTCCAACCCTCCTCCTTTACCCGGGCTTGGGACCGGCAGTAGCCCCTAAGGTGCTACTGGCGGAGTTATGGAATAAGTTACTTAATTCTTAACTTGCAGTTTGAACACCTCTCCATTTACTTGGGTTTAAACAGCTGGTTTGAATCAATAACTATCATGCATCTTAAACTTGAAGGTCATCATATAAACATGTACCTGATGTAATGATTTGTATTCAGCTTATTTTGTCTGAGTTTTCAAGAACTGGATCATAGTTTGAAACATCAGTCTAATCGCAATTCAGACGGACACATAGTGTACAGTGTTTTGTATTTCATGGAGTTGTGTGTGTAGTTATTGCATTATATCCCTCCTTATTCAGTTTCTAAATCAAAATGTAGGTAATGTAATTTCAATGATTATATTTTATTTTTATTTATATCATAGCGTAACGAGCGACTATATGCTCAATTACTTGATATTATCTATCAACGTAGACCAATTGATATTGAAGGTTTTATTGAGGCCACTAATCTTGCCACAATTGATTCAGTTCTGCCAGCGCATATCAAATTAGCTTTTTGTCAACGTAAACTACAGTTTTTGGAAGAATTCGATACAGATTTATCTCGGTAAGTTATGCTTAACCTTTAAACTTGTTTCAATATTTTTTGTATTCTATTGATTCGCTGAAGATTATATATTTTGCATTGTGGGTAACCGAACGGAAACTACTGAATTTCGTACGTATTCCAAAGGATTGACTTGTTAAGTTAAGTTAAATAAATTGATTTCATTTTATCTAATTGAAAGCTCTAAATAACACCAATTCATTTATTCATAGAAAATCCTCAGCTACAACATGTTTATTGTAAATGTTAGGATATTCATCCAATATCCTAAGAGCATTATTGGCCAATTACTATTGGTTAATTCCTACTGGTCAATTTCATGGTCGTCCTAGATGTCAATGTCACGTGCTCCAATGTTGTTTCTTATTGGTTGTCCTGTCTACCAATTTCACTTCAAATTTTGCTTCCTATTGGTCGTCTTAACTGTCAATGTCACAGACTTCGATGCTGTTTCCTATTCGACCAAAATGTATAAATACGCATTATTTGTAACGTTTTATGACCACGACCGGGATGCTGATTCTCTTCTGGACTCGGACCTCGTATCTTCTGGATGCTTGTAGAATACAGGTTCTACTTCATATCAGGTCTTCTTATTTTTACTCAATATGGGGGGTTGGGACAATCGAATTTGAGTTGCATGTCGTGTCGCCGGATCCTCCATCCTCGCTCTCGTTTTTCCGACTAGGTAAACTCGTAATAGGTTCAAGCATATCAAAATGACGTGTTTACGTGAATGCGTAACAGTACACAAGCCTAAGAATCTAACTTACACTATCTATCCACCGAATATTCTGTACTATGATGGATATAATAATAAAAACAAGTAAAGTATTTTTTTCTAAGAGCCATTCATATAAACATCATATTTCTCATTCACGGCATTTCACTAGATTCCACTTCTTGAATATTATATTCGAACCCTATTCTCTCTGATTACTGCTAATACCCTTACTACCTCTACTGCTATGGGATTTAAATTGACAATTACATCTTTGTGCTAATGTGGTATGGCAACTTGAACTGATGTTGAAGTTCTACGTTGCTGTTCATTTGATTACAGAAATTACATATCCAGTTCAATATTACATAGTTGCATTGTTTTCATTTCGAAATAAAAAAGATAACTAGTCTTTCTGTTATCATTGAGTTATTACTTCCAGTAGTTGTTTTTCAGTGTCTATTTTAAAAATACGTTGATCTCTATATTTATATTCAGGCTAAATGCTACATATGAAGAATACATGAGTCTCTGTGATGCAATCAATACTGGTGTCACTACATCAGCTATCGCTCGAGGAGCTAGTAGACTCATAAGTGGTTACCAGCTCCCGGATTTATTAAATTTGCCTACAACCTCTCTTAGAGTAAGTTCAGTTATTGGAGCAAATCCTTGTGAAATGGTAGTTTCTGCTGCACCGGTTGGTCGTACACCTTGCTTAAATACTGACCAGTCTGCTTTGGAAGCTGCTGCTTCAGTTGGAACACCAGCACCAGATCCGTCTACAGCGGCTGGTTATTACACTGCTGGAGGATATGAACCATTAGCTGCTGCTCTTGGCAATACGTCTGGACTTCCACCTCCTGTTCCAACAGGTATACCTGTTATGACACCTTCAGTAACGATTCTTCCTGGTGTGGTAAGTTTTAATTATATTTTTCATTTTGAGTTTACTTTTATTTTATCGATAGTGATAGGGAGTAAAGTAGTCGAACGTGTAGACCGCTTCACTTATCTGGGGAGTCTCATCAGTGCCGATGGCCTGGTGACTGACGAAATCTCAGCTCGGATACAGAAGGCTAGATTGGCTTTTGCCAACCTGCGTCACTTATGGCGAAGGCGAGATATCCGTTTGCTGACTAAAGGACGAGTGTACTGCGCAGTAGTTCGCTCCGACTTAATTTATGGCTGTGAAACGGCCAGTGAGAGTAGAAGATATTCGTCGGTTACTGGTTCTCGATCATAGGTGTCTTCGAATCATTGCTCGTATATCGTGGGACACCCGAGTGAGCAACGCTGTTATTAGGAAACTGATGCTAGTTAAGAATGGCAGATCAATTGATGAAGTATTGAAACTTCATCAGTTGAGGTGGTTGGGACATGAGCTGCGTATGCCTAACCACCGACTGCCTCGAAGAGCTTTGTTTTGTAGTATAGGAATAGGTTGGAAGAAAGTTAGGGGCGGCCAAACCAAAACATGGCAGAAATTCATGAAGTCATTGATGAGTGGACTGAGTCATGTCGGTAATTATCGACTACCTGGTTGGGGTCCGCGAGGTGTTAGTAATCGATGGTTAGAGATCTTGAGTAACATGGCTCAAAACCGTTCGCAATGGAGCAGGTGCATTTATTCTTTGTGTTCTCTCAAATCCTAAACTTCTGGATTCTCCAACACCTCTGTTTTGTCTTTCTAAACTTTTCTCACTGAATCCTAACCTTTCCGATTACTTTTAATACCTTTACTACCTCTTCTACTATTGGATTTGAATTGACAATTATATCTCTGTGCTGATGTGGTATGGCAACATGAACTGATGTACTTACGTACGAAGTTCTATGTTGCATCTGACTGACTGACTATCGATTTTCATTTTGTCAATATTTGGTACATTTAATTGTGACTTAAATTTTTATTATTTCTTGCTCTAATTGATACGTTTCGTATCATTGTTCGTGCTTGCTGTTCTGTTTAAAACAAGTTGTATAGTCAATTTTTGTAATAGTTGATTTATTTTTGTTTTGGCATAGACAACTAATTGTATTCTTGTTTCCATTTTTAGTCCGATACATCGACTTCAGGTGCAGCTGGTTTGACAGCTGATGCTGCATATGCAACCTATTATTATACTGCAACAACTGGTGCTTCATCTGTTCTCGCACCAGTCGTTGTTCCAGCAGTAGCGGCAGCTGCAGCGGCGGCAGTAGATATCAATTTGTCCGCATCATCTGCGGTCACCTCGTCGATAGTAACCTCAATAACTACATCTGTGCCATCAGTTGTATCTGTTGGACAATAGTTTCGTAGCACAGCACATTGTACAACATTTGATGTTTTTTTTGTATGGTTTTTAAATTTTTTTTCAACTTCAAACTGCATTATACATTTTTACAAAAAAATCTTTTTGTCATGGTTTGCTAAATATATATATATATATATGTATGTATCTATATGATAGTTTCTGCTAGTTCTTTATTGTCTACCAATCAATCAACATTGACGTAGAACTTTATACTTCACGTACGTACATCAGTTCAAGTCGCCATACTACACTAGCACAGAGATATTTAACTGTCACTTCAAATCCCATAGTAGTAGAGGAAGTAAAAGTATTAGCAGTAGTCGGAGAGGTTAGGATAAGATATTATTCAAGAAGTAGAATCTAGTGAAATAAACTTAAAGAGAAAAATGTAAAGTGGTGAGGAATTTATAAGTTTAGGATTTGAGAGAACCCAAAGAATGAATGCACCTGCTCCATTGCAAACGGTTTTGAGCCATGTCACTTTGGGTCTCTAACCATCGATTATTGTCATCCCGCGGACCTTAACCAGGTTGTCGTCACCTCCCGATATGACTCAGTCCACTTGTTGTCAGTGACTTAATGGATTTCTGCCATGTTTTGGTTTGGCCGCCCCTAACTTTCTTCCAACCTACCCCCACATTGCAAAACAGCTTGTCGAGGTAGTCGGTGGTTAGACATACGTAACATATGTCCCAACCACCTCAACTGATGAAGTTTCAATACTTCATCTATTGACCTGCCATCCTTACCGACCACCCGTTTCCTAACAACATCATTGCTTACTCAGTTGTCCTATGATAAACGAGAAATGCTTCGGAGACACCTATGATCGAAAACAAGCAACTTACGAATATCTTCTACTCTCACTGGCCATGTTTCACAACTATCTACCAAGCGAGTCTTTCCTAATTAGCAATCATTCACCTTTCTGTTAGGCGTTATAAACACTTCTATCACATTTAAATCCTTCTTCGAAGCTAATCGTATCGATCGAAGTTTATGTCATAGTACTCGTTATTCACAAAATATGCTTTCAGATCTTTTTAATTTTTCAAAGTCCTACCTTGTTTCCACTGGGAGTACAACTACTTGAAGTTTTACTTAGGGCTATTATAGTAAATCTCTTGTTCTTTCTTTACATGGTCTTGGTATGACTTTCCTGTGTTTTTTTACTTCAGTGCGTGTATGCATTTCTTGCTTCGTTTACAACATGTCTAGTTTATTTTGTCTGACTATAAATACTAAGTCATCATATTGAGTAGTTAGTTGGCTGACTTGCCTTCTCCGCTTCACTTTGCTTTGTTACGCTGTCCCGCTTTTTATCCACATGTTTGTCTGCATGAACGATTGTATGGAATAAATTCATCCATCTGAATACGTATTTTGTTTCTAATCATAGCGCTGTTGCGCAAACGGAGTTCGCGTAAGTATAATATGCAGAAATTAGATGAAAGATTTATTTCATGAAATATTCAATCATTTGTCCGTATTGGAGTCATATTCCGGGCTACTAAAACCTCACTGGTCTTGTTGTCATTGTTAGGATATTCATCCAATATCCTAACAGAATTATTGGTTAATTCCTACTGGTCAATTTCATGGTCTTCCTAGATATCAATGTCACATACTCCAATGTTGTTTCTTATTGGTTGTCCTGACTATCAATGTCACTTCAAATGTTGCTTCCTATTTGTCGTTTAAACTGTTAATGTCACAGACTTCGATGCTGTTTCCTATTCGACCAAAATGTATAAATACGCATTATTTGTAACGTTTTATGACTACGACCAGGACCAGGGCTCGGTCCCGGATCCCTATTCCGGCATCCTGATTCTCTTCTGAATTCGGACCTCGTACTTTCTGGATGCTTGTAGAGTACACGTTCTACTTCATATCAAGTCTTCTTATTTTTACTCAGTTTTGGGGGGGGGATTGGGATAATCGGATTAGAGTAGCATGTTGTGTCGCCGGATCCTCGATCCTCGCTCTCGTTTTTCCGACTAAGGTAAACTCGTAATAGTTCAAGTATATCAAGTTGACGTGTTTCATGTAGGCGTAACAGTCATAACGTTAACCGAAAAATCCATACAACTCTTCATGCTTATTGCTCTCTATAATTTAACGAATGCAGTTTTTTGGCCTGGAAAGTTGGTGTTTTCGGTTTTTTTTTTATTTTTCAAATTTCCACACATTATAGTCAAAATGTGAATTGATATTCGATTATGTTTTTTTGATAATATGAAATGTGAATAATTAAGTGTCAATTTTTTCACAAAAACGTTTTCTACTAGGCAACTTGTAAGCGATAAGTTATCATTTAATACGACTCTGTTTTGGAGTAGGATTTTTTTACAAAGGTTGAAGTAGGCATGATGACGTATTACGCGATGTCGCAACGAATCACATCGACCAAACGTTGGGTAGATCTGTAACTTTCACGTTTATATTAATTTGTATTCCTGATGTAAACATGTTAACATAGTTGATGTTTCGTTTTTGTTTGAAAGCAGATGACCACCTGTCTAGTATAGTTTCTAAGATCTATAGTGTTATAAGTCAATGTACTTGACGGCTACATGGTCAAAATCGGATGCCCGAAAATCCTGTTGAGTGAAATTTTTGGTAAGATGAATGAGTCGGTAAATGAAATCGGTCATATAGATCAAATGTACGCTTTGTTATAAGTAGCTACGTATGCATTTGAATCACGTACACTTAAATTCTCATAGACTTGTTTGTTGTTCATTCTATTGGTGTATTAAAATCCATTTTCCCACCTAGGTTCTGTTTAGGCAAGTAGTCTGGAACATCTCTTGTTGTAAGAAGAAGCCATACTAGTAAACATTAGTTTGATTCGACATTCATTGCTGATACCTCGTTGAACATTGAAGAATTTGTGTTCTTACAGAAAATACTGCATTCTAATTTCTAGTATTCGTGATGGTATTTCTAACCTATATTCATTTTAGAGCACAAAACACCTTAATCACTAGTAGTGGTAGACGAACTTTCTGTAATGCATAGCGTGTGCCAAAAATAGATATATTGTACACGATACGAATGTCTACTTAAAAACTCATAAGTAGTGTAACATTATTAAGGTAAATTTCATTTTTCCTTTTATTTCATAGATCGTCCACTGGATTTACAAATCCTGAAATGGAATATAGTAGTTGACAGATAGATATTTGATCTCCAATATTATTGACTCAGTATTATCACTGTATATTCTCATTGTAATTACAATCCCTTTGGCTTAAATTACTTTTAAGTGGTCACAAGTTTTTCTATAGTTCGTAAGTCCTGCTTTTTCTGCCAGAAAATATAAACTTCTGTTTTCCAGATATGCGAGTGGTTTATAGGTCTTTTTTAAAAGAGAAGTCGTGCAACTCGTGATATTTACCATCAAAAATCAGAAACCAACAAAAACTTGATAAATCTGTATATCTGTGTACATTGATTAATGTCACATCATCGTGATAGAGATTTTAAAAGCAAATCAACCCACAATTTTCTATTATTTTTCCTATTGTAGGAGTTTTGTTTTTTTAATAGACGTAGATTTTAATTCAAGCTAACAAAATAACAGATTTTCATAGTGAGTTTATGGAGATAGCTGAATTTTTCACTGAGATCAGAAACCGATTTAAACAAGACTGCCATTGTAAAAACTAGAAGCACTGAGTAGCTCCTTATCAATGCAAATCCACGACTCTATCATGGAAGATCATAAACAGAATCTACATTCTCGCCCGTGAAAGCTCAACCCCTGAACGACTGCTCGATTGTACTCGTCTAACTCCGATTGATCCGCGATATTATGCAACAATAACACCTAATGTTCACTTGAGTCTCTTTACGTTTATTTTGGTTATATCATTCAGTTAATTTGTTTAACAATATCATTCGGTCAGCAACAAATTGTCTATATGTTTTTATTTTATTGATATCATGTTTCATGACCACTTGTGTTTCAACACGTATTTCAGCCTACATACATATTCTTCCTATTATCTAGTTAACTGGTTAATTAGTTGATTAAATAACTTTGACTCATCCTTTTTTCTATGCTTATGTGTTTCTTAAATCCTACACATTCATTCTTCCTCATTTGCATAACCTTTCTTATTTACTTCATATGTGCTTCCTGCTTTGTGATCTACGCTGTATGATAATAATTTGTAGTCAACGTTTCGTATTGTCCTACGATACTTACACAGCGTTATTTTTACACATTTGAAATCATCAATCAATGATTGTTAGACCACCATTAGAAACCTGGAAGCACGGAACGGCTGTTTCGTCCTGGTATGGGACTCATCAGTGTTAGTGCGCATCCACAACTCCTGCTCCTCGCAGGATTCGAACCCGGGACCTTCGGCATTATGCACGAACGCCTAACCATCGGACCACTGGGCCAGCATTGAAACAGCGTTATTTATCTAATAACGATTATCAGAACGAGTGATATATGAAGCATAAGACTTACTTTAAAGAGAATCTACTGTACAACCTTTGTACAATGCATTCAGTGAGTAACTCTACCTCACACCAAACACCGTTGAACTCCTTTAGTCACATTTTCTTACCGGGACTCTGAAAGTTAGTCTCTAGTGCTTCCAAGTTATCATTGATTGTCCAAGTTAGATCAGTTCGTAATTACAAAACAGAATGATCCTAGTCGAAAACATACCCGAATATTGGTTGACACAGTGACTGATTATTAATCAGAACAAAAGTCGCATGTGAAATTATAACATAATCGCTGCTGCTTGTTGATTCGACATAAAATATCATATTACAAATCAACATAATACTGAAACAGAAAATAAAACAAATATTTTACTGAGTAATCATCATACTAAATTGAAATGTAAGTAAGTAAGCAAAAATACAGTTAGTCAGATTGTAATTTTTTTCGGTCATACTACTTAGTCATTTATCAATCAATATTTTAAGCTATCGATTAATAAGATCGTTTTATGCGAGGGAGGGGAGTTAATATTTGAATAAGGTTCATAAATGTTACAATGAAAGGAATAGAATACTGATCGGTGTATGAAAATACATTGATTGTAGTTGGATGATTACTATACACGGGGTCAAATTACTGACTTTAGTTTTTAATT